AATAAATTAATATTCATTTATGAATAAAACTATAAAAAAAAAAAGAATCAAATAAGATAAGACTTTCCAAAATTCTTCTTTGATTTGAACTTATCTAGTTCAAAATCTTGACTAAAATGCCGCAATGTGATTCAAAAATTGAAAATAAAAATTCATAATATATCATAAATTCAAAGACAGAAATATGGTTCAGAAACTGAAAACAAAAATTCAGAACATAATATATACTAAAAAAGTTCAAAGAAATTATTGAGAAAGGAAATCATCTAGGTAACGCTGAAGGGAAACCCTAAATCACAAAAATTCAGGTTGTACCTCCTCAAGAACAGGTTGTTATTGTTGAGGTACATCATCAATGACTTCAAGGGAAAACACCGTTTCGTTTCATCCTTGACTGTATAGTGTCAATTTGGTAGTAAGTGGTTCACTCCAGTTTGACTAACAATGAAATAAAACTTGTTACCATTGTCCTTAGTGATACACTGCATCGTCCTTAATGATACACTGTATAGCCTAAATATTTAGTAATTGAAGTTATCAATCCCCATTAACAATATTACCAAATCTAGTGTATGAAATGTTTTGTACTTTGGGTTTTTTTGCACGAAATTCTGGTTTCAGAACGGGCCGTTCTGGTTCCAGGTATATTCAAGTATTTTGGGATCCACCTACGTGGCATCCACCTGGTATCCACGTGGCCACCAGTTAACTCCATTTAAATCATTTAGACAGAAGTCCCAAATTATAATGATTTAAATTATTAGGGATCAAATTTAGACATAAAATTAAAATAGGACTAAATTGAAACAAAAAAATATTATAAGGGACCAAAAGAGATTTTTAACCTTTTTGTTATATTATTTTTAAATCATTACTTAAGAATATATAACAAAAAAAAAATATGAATATTTTTGTGGATAATCCTTCCTCTCCCCAAAGTACAAAACATTTCATACACTAGATTTGGTAATATTGTTAATGGGGATTGATAACTTCAATTACTAAATATTTAGGCTATACAGTGTATCATTAAGGACGATGCAGTGTATCACTAAGGACAATGGTAACAAGTTTTATTTCATTGTTAGTCAAACTGGAGTGAACCACTTACTACCAAATTGACACTATACAGTCAAGGATGAAACGAAACGGTGTTTTCCCTTGAAGTCATTGATGATGTACCTCAACAATAACAACCTGTTCTTGAGGAGGTACAACCTGAATTTTTGTGATTTAGGGTTTCCCTTCAGCGTTACCTAGATGATTTCCTTTCTCAATAATTTCTTTGAACTTTTTTAGTATATATTATGTTCTGAATTTTTGTTTTCAGTGGACGATGCAGTGTATCACTAAGGACAATGGTAACAAGTTTTATTTCATTGTTAGTCAAACTGGAGTGAACCACTTACTACCAAATTGACACTATACAGTCAAGGATGAAAAATTTGGTAGTAAGTGGTTCACTCCAGTTTGACTAACAATGAAATAAAACTTGTTACCATTGTCCTTAGTGATACACTGCATCGTCCTTAATGATACACTGTATAGCCTAAATATTTAGTAATTGAAGTTATCAATCCCCATTAACAATATTACCAAATCTAGTGTATGAAATGTTTTGTACTTTGGGTTTTTTTGCACGAAATTCTGGTTTCAGAACGGGCCGTTCTGGTTCCAGGTATATTCAAGTATTTTGGGATCCACCTACGTGGCATCCACCTGGTATCCACGTGGCCACCAGTTAACTCCATTTAAATCATTTAGACAGAAGTCCCAAATTATAATGATTTAAATTATTAGGGATCAAATTTAGACATAAAATTAAAATAGGACTAAATTGAAACAAAAAAATATTATAAGGGACCAAAAGAGATTTTTAACCTTTTTGTTATATTATTTTTAAATCATTACTTAAGAATATATAACAAAAAAAAAATATGAATATTTTTGTGGATAATCCTTCCTCTCTTATCCAAAACTACAAGGAATCTTGAGGCTTATCAACGAGACAACAGACAAGTGACCCAGCATGCACTTTGGAGTCCAGTTTATAGTACTGTTCAATGTCCATTCGACAAATATATGCAATTATCTCTTTACGCCTTGGCCACATTTTAAAATTAAAATAGGACTAAATTGAAACAAAAAAATATTATAAGGGACCAAAAGAGATTTTTAACCTTTTTGTTATATTATTTTTAAATCATTACTTAAGAATATATAACAAAAAAAAAATATGAATATTTTTTCAATCTAATTTAGGACTTTAGTTGTCAAATTGAGGGTCAACAAATTAAGACCCACCAAAAAAATTTCACCTCAAACATTAAGAGATTTTCTTGAGTAAATATGTCCACTAAAGTAGGATTTTATGGTCGCAAGGGTATCGAACTCATGTCATGGAAACATAAGTTTGAACCAAATCTTGTACCATTTGTGTCAACCCACAATGACATTTTTTTTATATCCCTCTATCTCTTATTTATTATTACATCACATTATTAATCATATTAGTTATTTATCATTTTTATCTTATATATTTTTCTTTGAGGGGCAAAATTTGGTAGAAAATTTTTTTTTATACCCGGGAATTAATAAAATCAAGAATCTTAATTCTTACAAATGATTAAAATGTGTTCTGTTGGCCATAAATATTTTTAAGAATATTTATATAGGTTACTTGGGAAACAATATTTTTATTACTTTAAATAAGCAAATAAAGATAATATGGCATTTTACCACAATAAAATTTTCCTTTTAACTCATAAATGAGAGATTCACACCTACTCTATGAGAATGATTTTGTGAGAAATATGTAAAAAATATTCTTAGGAAATAATGTTTTTTATACATGTTAATACCTTCATTTTTATTAATAAGGTCCAACTTAGAATAATTGTCTTTTCATTTATATAAAACACAATTCATATGTTGACCATGTAATAAGTGGATTAAAATTTTAACAATGGTCATTCTCACTATCATCACTAGCATCAATACTATTATTGTTAAACTCTCAAATGTTGCATAATAACGTGTTATTCAAGACTATTTTATTTGTTTTATTGTTAAGTTTTTAGCATAATTTCACTTTCTTATTAGGTATGCAATAAACATAAAAAATAATTAAAAAAATGAAATTTATGCATTCAAGGGATAAAATGAAGCAATTATATGTACTTTGAAGCTATGCACGACCATACTTACTTTAAGTACGATTGCACAATCATGCTTCAAATTGTTGAATGAACTACACACATGCTTCTTTTTTGGAGCATCTCTAGTTGAGAAAGCATGTCTTTGCTCTCCTATGGTCTAAAGAAGCACGCCCTTAGCTATTAAGCACAACCATGTTTGTTAAGACGCACAGTCGTGCTTAATAGTTCACCCTAATTTTTTTATATATATAAATAAAAAATTCTTTTTATTTTTTTTAACATATATATATATATATATATATATAACAAGATATCCACTTATTTCAAGAATAAGTTTGCCAACATTTATTTCACTCAATAATTTATATTTTATATCAAATTTCAATGATCTAACCACTGAATTAAAAAATTTTAATGCATAAATTAAGTCTGTAATTTTAAAAAAAAAATTGAAGACATATGATACTTTGTTATATAAATTTAATTCAACGTATAAAATATTTTTATGATTAGTTGTCAATTTAAATTAATAAAATGAAGTACATATAGTTTTCAAATATTTTTTAAATTTACAAATTTAATCTATGTATGTATTAAAAAAATTTAATTAAATAATTAAATTGTTAAATTTGACATAATACATAAATTATTTAATTGAATATCTTTAATAAAAGTTATTTTTGAAATAATTTAATATGATATATATATATATATATATATA